CTTTCAAATGAAGTGTTTGGGAGCATTCGGAATCCTTTTGGTTAGTCAAAACCTATAACAACCGAGGTAATAGTTGTGAAATCCAGTGAAATCTGCTAACAATGACATATAGACACAATTTGAAGCATAGCTCATATTTTATGAAGACTTTGGAGAAGGTTAGAACATAAGAATCATATTAAACACATGCATGAATTAAATGGAGGTGATTTGAGTGCATTTGGATGTCGTTCAATAGGTCAAAGGTTTGCTACCAAAGGAGTGATAGTCAATACATTTTCTGCAACCTCTCAACAATGACATACCCACACATTTTGAAGCATAATTTCTAATCCATGGGGAATTTCAAGATGATATAAAAATCAAAGTGGAAGCATACAGCCATATATTTCATTCAAAACTGGTTTGGGTCCATTTGGACACATTTTTTGCCATTGCAAGTTTCGATGCAAGAACAGTCACTGTTCTAGAAAATCTCATTCTCAAGCTTAACATGTATTAAAGAATACTTAATGTTTCACAAACCAATACAAATCTTGATAAAAAACCTTGTTCATGTTAAACTAGAATGGCAAGAAATTTATTTCACATATTCCACCATTAATAAGGTCATTTACAATGTTCAAACTATCATGGCACGTAGAAGTACAAATCTGGAATTTCAAACTCATTTCAGCCATTCACATCCATGCCTCTTATCCTACCATTTTACCCACTTTCAATACATAAAATTGATTTCTACAACATTTGTTGGTGAAAAGATGCTAAACCTACTTACCTGTGCTCAACGACACCTCCAAACTCCTACTCGCAGGCCACTTCAAGCTTCAAGCAATGTTTATCTCCAAAGGGCAGTAGTAAAGAACTCCAACCTTGGGCTCAAGAGAGAAAAAGAAAGGGGCAACCGTAGTGAGATGGAAGGAGAGAGGGGTTTAAGTATCCAAGGTAGGTGGGAAACACTGTGGCTGACAGGGTAGGTGAAGGTCACTGTAGCTGATATGCACGTCACTGACAAGTACGGCACTGACACCTACGACAGCAGTCACATCTTCATTTCACTCCATTGTTGTGGGCTCTCCACTGCCGCGTGCACTCTACTACCATGCGCACTCAATTATCGCATGCTCTTCACTGCCGCGTGCACTCTTACTTCCTCTCTTTCTTCACTGTCGCGCGCTCTCTTCACTGCTGTGCGCACTCTTCACTATCTTGCGCACTCTGCTTCCTCTCTTTCTTCGTTGTCGCATGCTCTCTTCACTGCCATGCACGCTCTTCGCTGCCATGCGCGCTCTTCACTACTGCACGTGTTTTCTTACTTCCTCTCTTTTTTCACTGTTGTGCGCAATCTCTTCTCTGCCGTGCGCACTCTTCACTGCCGCACACATTTTCTTACTTCCTCTCTTTCTTCACTGTTGTGCATACTCTTCACTGCCGCATGCGTTTCTTACTTCCTCTCTTTCTTCAATGTCAGGCACACTCTCTTACTACTGCGTGCACTCACTACCACACGCTCTTCACTGTTGCATGCGTTTTTCTATCTCTCCTCTCTACTACACGCATGGCACTCACCCTCTTCTATACACTATTGCAGTGCGCGTCTCATGCCCAAGGAAATTTGTGGTCCTTACACAATTATAATTTGCTTCTTTGACATCCACGAAACTGCTCCTCATCCATATTGAGCAAATACTCAGAGGAAGAGTTCAATTCTTCCGGATCACCCGTGCACATTGCAAGTCCTGGAGTAAAAAAAAAAAGAGACGAGACGATGCGTTAAAGTTTGAGGAGAGTTCACAGCCAAACCGTGCTGTCAGACAGTTAGAGGGCTTCGTGATTGTTTTAAGAGGGCGTCCACCCGGGTGTATCCACGAATCTGCAAATGACGAGGTAAGCACCTAAAACACATCCTCATTGAAAAATATCTCTTATTGTTGGTTCCTATCCGCATAAAGAGCAGTGTACGTGTATGCCTAAAATGCATCTCGCGCACACCGCTTGCGGTTGTTTGAGAGAGGGTTTTCCTTCACCAAGAAAACCTAACCCCAACCACCTAGAGAGAGATAGAGAGCAAGAGCTCCCATTAACTCTATGCAACAGCCATTGTAGGACTTGAATTCCATTGTTCATACTTGGAGCTTTAGGGCGAGCATTCATTACATGAGATCTAGTTCGTGTTGAGCCATCTTCAAGGTAACCCTCTATCGAGTTTTTCACTACTGTTCAGCACCCTATTCCACTTCAAATCTTGTTGTAAATTCTTAGTTACAACAACTTTGTAATCCTTTTATTCTTTACTTCATGTGATCTTTATGATCGCCTTTTATAGGGTAGTCATCCACTTGAGTATATGCTTCATGCATTGATGAAGTGTTTGTAAAGGTGTATAAGCTTCCCAAACTGGATAGACACCCTTGAGCTATATAAACCACTCATGCACTCATCTTTGGGACAAAATGAAGTCCTCAAAAGCCCCGATTGTAGGCTGGGCACAAGTGGTTCGAACCATGGTTGCCCCCATGATTGTTTGCATGTTAATTTGATATATTTACTATTATTAAATGATTCATGAATGATAGAATTGAGTATGTTATGTGAATATTAAGATTGTTCTTAAAATCTTGTAATATGAGCTTTAATGTTGTACTTTATTGGTTATGTAAATTGAAATCTCATTTGATTCTTATGAGTGATTATATGATGTGTATAAGACAATGTGGCATATGATGAGAATGAAGATTGAAGAAGAGATCATTATGTAATTTGGATAGAATGATGAATTTGAGCAAAGTCATGTAATATGTTGTAGAGATGTACTTTTTGAGTATTTAAACATTATATTGAACATAATTGTATTTTGAGAAAGGGATACGTAAGGGTTCTATTAGAGTTGTAATTTTATTTATTAAGATTGGTATAAACCAAGTTTGAAGGATGAAATTTATGTATTTTGGTTTTGTATTGAGTCTTCATGAATGTAAAGCCTTATGTTTTAATAGAATGGAAATATTT